CCATATACCAGTATATATATGTATATATGTATATATATATTTTTATACATATTTTCATATATATTTATATATATATATGGATATGGATATAGATATATATATATATATATATATATCTCATATGCATTGCTATTCAAATTTTGCATATTTACCTCTTTTGCATAGCGATCATAATAGATGTAGTGTCCCTTTCGTACAGCTTGTATCATATTCTATGTACACCTGAATCATATAAACAGATTGGCACATTCATAGTCTTTTGGATGGATGTGCATAGTCACTTTCTATATGTCAAGCACTAGCATTGGACGTACAACAAGCTCGTCAAAACCACTTATTTTGTTTCCGCCTCGTCACACAGCCGCCAGTATATGCGAGGATGATTTGATCGCTGAAGTGCAAGCCTTGCGCACATTGGGTAGGCACCCAAACATCAGCAAATTCTATGGATTGTACGAGAATGAGAAGTATTATATGATGGTGCTTGAGTACCTCAGGGTGAGTTTCGCGTATACTGAGCCTAGAGTGAGTATCTATTCAAATGATTGATTCTGCCACTCTCAGGCGGCGTGTGTATAGTGCAGCTTCTACTTTTCGATGTTCCTACCGCTTTCTCGTGCTACATTTTGTCCATGTACTAGTATTCTCCCATCTCTTTTGCCTCCCGTTCTTAATTTCTCACATGCGACGTCATTCTACTATTCTCACGATGTACGTTTCCAGTCTCTCGTTCTTATTTTGTCACGTGTTATTTTTACTCACTCGTTTCCTCAGTGTTCTTCTCTAGTCTCCCATGCTTAATTCGTCACGTGTGGAACCACTCCCCTATTATTGTCTCGTCAGGGTGGCGAGCTAATCGATGTAATGATCCGACGTGTGGACGAGGGAAAGGCCAACTACACCGAAGCCGAATTAGCGATCATCATCCTGCAGATAGCCAGGGCTGTATTGCACTGTCACAAATACCGAGTGATACATAGAGATATAAAGCCCGAAAACATTCTGTGTAGGTATGTAGTGTTCCTTTTTACTTACTGTGCGTTCGTCTGCTCCCGAGACGGAACTTTGTTTCTGTAGTGGTTGTGTGTGAACTGCAGGTTGAATACGAATGTTGGCTCTAGAGTGGATAGTGAAGCTATTGCTGGATGCTAGAGCGATTTCAAACTAGAATTATTGCCATACATCTACCTCTGATATCAATCCTACACCAAAGCCATTTTCATTACTTTTGAACTGTCCAGAACAATCGCACCCTAAGATCATTTGCAAACCTCTGCGTTTATAAATAATCAGATAGCGATCACGAGGGCGCATCCCTCTAACCAACCCAATTTTGAATTTATATCAATCCTACCTATCTACTTTTATTGACAACTCTACACCAGAGCTAAGAATAAACCACTGTTTTTTAACGTCAACCCCTCAAATAACCTCAAACTAAAATCATTTTCTAACCCCCATTAACAACCTTATAGCGATCATAAGAGCGTATCAGATGCGTCCAGAGTTATCGACGCACCTGTTAAACTGGCTGATTTCGGACTCTCTGCCATCATCCCTGAAGATGAGGAAGGCCTTACCATTTCCTCAGGAACACCCAACTATATGGCCCCAGAACGGCTGTGTGGCAAAGTATACAGCTTCAAGAGCGATATATGGAGTATAGGCGTCGTTCTCTATATTCTAATTGAGGTGTGTATTGAATTTTTTACGCCGTTGTAGGAATGTGTATAAATGATACACGAATCAGATTTTGTGTTGGATATTAGACATGTACTGTATATTTGCGGAGATTCGCTGATTTTACTGTAAATGTGGCCACCGCACCGTACAATTCTATCATTCATTCCAATGATATCTATCTGATCTGAAAAGTATCCCAAATTAACTCGTATAATTCGCCTTAACACGCTCATTTTATTCTCAAATCATATCCCGTGTTATTCACCTTGTGTCGTCCGGGTTATTCTGCAGGGCAAGTTTCCCTTTCCGGGTGATGATGAAGATGAGATCACAAAGCACGTGCTCGACCCGACATTCCCTAAATATGAGGGACCACACTTCGACCCCATTTCAGAGTCGTGTAAAGACTTTCTCACGCAATGTTTTACAAAGGTAGGTAATGTCAATATCTACATATATTGAATATTCTATTTCGGGAAAACACCGTGAGGCTGAAGTAAATATGGAGTATCATACTGCCACACGGGTATTTATATTCAAATAGACATTAGTGCATAAACTTATTTTTTAAACGAAAACTGTATATACTCCCTTATAAATATGGACACGTTACTATATTCCTCATCTTTGGGCATCTAATTACACCATCTGTTATTCACATTCATTATTTGGGGCAGTTCAAACGTTCGCACGTGAATATAAAGGTGATGGTGATCTATGGCACGCACAGACTAGCATACAAGCACACATACAGGGGCTGTTATCGCCGTATCACTTCTGTGTACGTGTCTAAACCTTGCTCGTTATGTTATGTCGCTGTGTCATACTATGTATCCACAATCACTGCTGACGGCACTTGCGCCTCTGTGAACTGCGACCTCGTACGTGAGTTCGAGTCACGGCATGCACTCTGGATATTATGCAAATTACTTCTTGGCTCATTTGTTGGGTATTCCTTGCACTACGAGTTCTATACTATCCCCGCATGATATGGGTGCTTTGCACCACTCTGCTACTAGACTGTTGTCAGCCCAGGTTGTTCGCTGGTGGTGTATGCCCAGTGGCATTGTGATACAAATTTCTTCGCTCAATGATTGCTATCACATTGGTCATTGGTCTTCAAGTGCATGTCTATACATGCACACATGCTAAACAGAATTATACACCCCGCACTATAAGGCTGATGGTCAAAGCTACTAACGCGCGGTTGTGGTTACTGATGTACACAAATGAACATACACGGTCCACCAAATAGGTGCACAAGCAATATATGCTCATTTGTGCTCATGAATACGAATGCATGTTCTTACCTCGCATGAATATATTCTAATGTCTGCACTCACCGTTCTCATATACACACACGCATCTCAGGACCCCAAATTCAGACCGACAGCCTCGCAGCTACTATCACACGAATGGCTCAGTGGCAACACCACTGCCACGTGCACCATCAAAGGAGCTGTGGAGGGTCTCAGGCGATTCAACGTCCGCTTGAAATTCCGAGCGGTACGCGGAAAATGTGTATTTGTACATTATTTATGTATGGGATGAATTTCGACTGACTTGTATGTGTCTATGTTATGTGAATCTGTGTGTAGATGTTTGCGACGAAGGGGCTCATTCATCGTAGATGTGTTGGATGCGTGTGTATCTCTATAGATGGATAACTGCATAATCGTGCGTAAACGTTTATTTTAATTACAGCCGCAGTCATGCGTAATGTTTATATCGTATTTCATATGCACATATGGTGTGCATGTACGATGATGGACTTGATACGATTTGGTTTATGTTTAGATCCTCTGCGGTGGGTTGTGTATGCGTTGTCGATGTTTTAGGGTTTAGGGTTTAGGTAGATAGATAGAGGGGTAGGTAAATCAATCTATCACACTGCTTTCTGGAAAGTTGTAGTCAGTGTATCTCAATAATCTGACCTTAAGATGGACAGGTTTTACCCGATATGTATGATGTGCACGTTTGTTGTTTCCGTTTTGGATTTTAGTGGTTTCCGTAGCGTGCAATTGAGTTTACTATGCTTGCGTTGGTTGACAAGGCGACGAAAAATACCCGCATTTCGAAACTCACTCACGCGTAGGTAAAATCTTCTAATTTGGTTTCAAAATCTATATGTAAGTCTGGTTGCCGTGCAGGTATGACATAAGACAAGATGGTAGGGGTAGAATGTAGGCCTACTATACCGGATGTAAAATGGATTGGTAGTGTTTTTAGATATTGTCGCCTGCAATCACCCCACTGAGGTTTTCTATGGTACAAGCTTCCGCGCAAGGCCTGACACGCAGACCTCACGAATCTAACAGTTGCACCCTCATCCTCTGCCCATCAGATGATCTGTGCAATTGTGGCACGGAATAGGTTATCAAATATACTGCGGGCTCTGCGCAGTGAGCAGTTGCTGCTGCGTCTGATTGAGTACGGCATCACGCTGGAGGAGATAAAGGAACTTGCACACAGCTTCCGGATGGCTGCCTGGGGCCATGTAAGTGGGATGCAGGGTACTGCTGATGTGCAATCCAGATGTACGTGTGGATGTATTTGATTCTATGTTTTTAACTACATCTCATGCGTATGTCAATGTACAAGTATATCCATACCTCCGAGCAAGGAGCGAGATCGATGTACCAGCATTGCGGTAATATCGATGTGTTGTAGTGCCGTGCGCGCTGTAGTCGTTGTTTATCGGTACCACATCTAGTTTTACCGCTGTAACTGATTCTCTATGCTCTTCCCAAGTTGCCTGGTCTTCACGGTGACTTTCTGCCTATGTACCTATTTGTTTGTATATGTATATGTATATGTATATGTATATACATATACATATATATAT